CTAGCTATACAATAACTATCAACACTAGCTACATAATAATTATCAACACTAGCTATACAATAACTATCAACACTAGCTATACAATAATTATCAACAATAGCTATACAATAATTATCAACAATAGCTATACAATAACTATCAACACTATCTACACAATAATTATCAACACTAGCTACACAATAATTATTAACACTAGCTACATAATAATTATCAACACTAGCTACATAATAATTATCAACACTAGCTACATAATAACTATCAACACTAGCTACACAATAACTATCAACACTAGCTACACAGTACCCCTGTAGCGCCGCAAGTGTGTATGAATAAATATATATTAGGATACTCAGGTTTAAATGGTTTATGTTGCCTATAAATCACAATGATAAGCTGTTTTTCTCTGCTATATGGTGACACGTACAAATTTATGTTATCGTCTCAGTCGTAGAGATGCCGTCATTGAAACACTGTTAACCACAACCCTTCACCATCACCCTCCACTTCCGTCGGTTTTGGCAGCTGAAGGAGCTCCGTGCGCCTTCCCGTCCATATGGCAATAATGTATTTCCATGTAATTTATGGACGCCTCCTCTCTTCAATCTTCCATCCATCAAATGTTGCCAAATGATGTTAGTTAGGCCCATTGCTCTTGTTACGTGGATGAACCACATCATCTTACTCTTCTTTAGATGACTAATTGCGTTCTCAAATTCCCATTAGATGCCGATATTTCTGCTCGGACTGTTAATTTTTCCTGTGTGCAGCGTAGAGAATCCTTAGTAGCCTGCGGTACAATTTCATCCCTAAAGCTTATATCTTTCTTTTTGTCCCTGCGTTTAAAGGAAAGTACGTATTATTATCACGTTGAATTGGTAAAGTGATCTACCATTTCGAAACATAAATATTTGTAATTGCAGTTACACAATTAAATAAACCCAGATTAAAGCATTAGATACCGTCGTATTTTCCCCGCGGCGCCCCCCAGTGGAACAGCGAAATGTCTGCGGACTTGCAACGCTAGAAACCGGGTTTCCATACCTGTGGTGGGCAGAGTGTAAATTGCCCATTGCGTAACTTTGCTTCAAGTGTGTTTCTTCCGTCTTCGCAATCAAAAAATAAAAAAAAAGTATTCTGAGCTTTATAGTATTATTGTCGTTTTTGGTTTTAATGGTTCAAAGTAATTTGAATTCTTATGTCTGAACTCAGTAAATGATTTACAATGTGAAGAAAATATTTGTTGTACATAAATTACAGTGGTCTGTATTTATAGTTCTTCCACGGACTTTTTAACAACGGGTATATATATATAGAAAAATGTTGAGAACTTTTTAAAATGTATTTAAAAAACATCAAACTAATTAAAATTCACCCAACGTGAACTTTTCAAAATTAACTTTCCGGCAAAATGTTAGCTAAGCGTTATTGCACAAACTAGCTGATGAACATTAACATTATGCGTTCTCTACTTGAAACAGAAGGGCGTTTTAAGAAGGATATTCAAACTGTGGACGAGAATTTTGGGAATGACTACGACATTTTATTTTTGTCACTTTTGTATTTTTCGTGCTTTGGTTTTCATTCATTGCAGACTTATTTTTGTGTCAAGCAAAGTATTTTATTAACGTGACAAAATATGTCGCGATATAACAGTTTTTTTATTCCACTAAACAGATGTTTTGGAGAAAAATATAAATATTTTTTTAGTCCTCTTTACACGACGCGAGAGCGTTTGTTGTCAAGTTTTTATGTTCATCTTCATTCCGAGATGTAAGTTTAATAATAACTGTTGTAACAATTCAGCCGTCCAAAGACAAATAAGAAATGGTAATTAAAGTGTTAGAATCATCAATTTTATACTCGTTTAAGTGGTAAAATATGCTAACTCAATAGATTTCAAGAAATTTGATTTTTTTTTATATTTCAACAGAACGAACGCTTGGTGGGAATACAGTTACTGTTATATAACACTTTCAAACAAATTTAGAAGCTATAATAAGATATTTACTTTTACATATAATAAAATGAAATTCCTTCTTAAAACTTTTTTTTCCCCTAGAGCTGATGATTATAGTGTAAAATACCACAAAAATACATATATTTACACGATTTTTAACTGTCACATAGATATACACAACTATACACCAAAAATTAAAAACTAATGGACTAATTTCGCATTTCGTTTTAGCGTCCTTTTATAACTTAACGTTATATGTTTACAATTAGGGTATCAATATACAGTTTTTTAAATCAATAATGGACTGGCGATTTCAAACTCTGACCTATTGTATGAATTTCCTTCGGTCAAGCACGAAACACGTTTATACGTCTGGAAAAAATGAATGCTTTCTCAATCAGTATTATATATTTGCATACATGTATCTCATGCAAAATTTAAAGTTATATTTTGTTTTCTAGAAAAAAAAATTAAATAAAATTACTATATAACCAATGTTATACTTGCGAAATCGTCCACTTATTTTAAAGAGTTTTCATCTGCACTTAACGAAATTACTCTCAGTAACCGGTTACAATACAAAAAAGTGTAATAAACATCAAAGCTATAATTATGTTAAACATACGATTCTCTTATTCTAGAGTACAGACTTTTTCTCCAAGACTTGTTTCAACTTATAAATCTAAAAAACCTTAGAAACGTGTAATCTGATAAAACAAAAAACAAATGACGTGTGATTTTACCCATAATTGTAAAAACCATTTGGTGCATTATCAGATTCCTCCAAGAATCTTTTTTTTTTTGTACAATTTATTTAAATCTTTATTCCGTATAGATGCGTTTGTGAAACAAAATTGATTAGATGGGGATCTGTTAGTATGAAACGTTAACAACGAAGATGATAAAAGACAAAAAAAAAAAAATACACTTTTCTTCCCAGAAATAATTCTCCGATTGCGATTACGAAAAACTTCTAAGTTATGAGAGAACTTTCTAGTAAACTGTATTAATGCACAATAAGTTATTTCTAGGGGTCTCAAACGCAAATTTCTTCATACACGAAAAAATATCCATAAAGAACAAACAAAAAATTACCTAATGTCCTGTAAACAAATAAACGCATTTTTTTCCCGTAAGATATATAATTTCCCAATTATTATAATTATTTTTTATCTCATTTTTTTGTGGTTGTAATTTGCTCTTCATTTCCTTTATAAATTCAATATTACAACTTTTTCCGTTGAATTCCATTTTTTCAAGTCAAAATCAAATAAATTATACGCTGTATCTGGTTGATACCCTTTAAAGGTTAGGCTATAAGTTTTGTTTTAACATCTTCCATTAGGGTTTTTTTCTTTCGGAAATGAGCTAAAAAAGTTAAGGATGTTACTTTACTTTTTCACAGCCTATTGTATTAAATAGCATACGAATAATTCGGGCAAATAATTAAAAATACGGCAAGAAATGGTTTGCCCCAGTTAACTCGGGTAAATCACGGGGGTCTCCCCCTCAACCAAAGACAAAGTAATGTTTTTGGGTGACAGAGCAAAGAACAAGAAATTCTTATAACTGTTTCTTAGAGGTGTTTCGTACAACACTGAAACCTCCGGAATCTGCTGAATCAAGATACGTTATCCATAAGATGGTAACGTATTTCAATCGGTAGTTTTGAGCTGCCAAAAAGACAGTTACGAAGTGGCTGCACCATCTTATCAGCAACAGTCCCACACACACACTAATAGATTAGCTTTTCTGATTCTAAAATTGAATTATACGACCTTTCTTCATTGTTTATTTGAGGTTGGAGGACTCGTTTTTGATCTGAGGGAAGGTTACTACTACTAATAGATTATATTTTTTTTTATTCTAAAATTAAATTACACGACCTTTCTTCATTGTTTATTTGAGGTTGGAGAACTCGTTTTTGATCTGAGGGAAGGTTACTACTACTAATAGATTATATATTTTTTTTATTCTAAAATTAAATTACACGACCTTTCTTCATTGTTTATTTGAGGTTGGAGAACCTTGTTCTTGATCTTCTGACTTGATGGTAGGTTACTATAACTACTGCCCTTGTGAGCACCAAACCTATTTCTGAGTACCACAACAGCATTTTTAGGCTTGATAGAAGGGTTTGCCTCAAGATTCTTGCGTATGCAGGTAATTGAGGGAAGATTGACGATGACACGCTGAAGAGTAACAAAGTTCCAGTCACAGCTAGCAAGGCTTATTGCTCTCTGTTAAAAATCTAGTGTGGTCTGGTCTGAAAAACAGATGCAAAGAAGGTGGAGGCACACATATGGGATCCTCAGTTCCACAAGAAGTACTGTCATTAACAATGAGATTTCTGCTGATGATGTGGCCTGTTATAACTCGGTCAATATTTGTCAGATTTAGAAACTGTAAAGTGTAAATCCTCGTATCTCATCATATGCTACATCTTTTATAAGTTTCAACAAATTTGAATAAATTCCAGACTTTTTACATCCAATCACTACCACCGAGGAACCCCTGGTTGAGGGAGAGATCCTGTGTAAAAATTACTATTTTTAACCATTAATTCATCAAAAATTCCTCCAATTAAAATCTGCTCCGTAGTGCCTCAAAGTGGACTGAATTAAGGATTGTTTTGTTTGAAAACTTCAAGTAATGAGTAATAAACTTGGATCCAACGCATCATCAAAGTTCATAAAAATTCGTTTTAAATCACAACATGCACCGTACAAGCGTGACAATGAAAACAGTTCAAATATATTATGTACCATATAAAATCCACGTGAATTCCACTTTATCACTTCTTGTCAACTTGTACACATACTTTCACTTATTAAACTTTTTATTTTCTTGAACACCAAGAATATGAACAAAACTTAAATTCATTCTTCTTGGCAACTTGTATCTACCCTGTAAAACTGTTAAATAAACTCAGTTGTTTAGATATGAATGAAAGCCTTAAGTTTCATACTAATAACACTGGGCAATAGTATTGATTTACTAGAAGTTTGTTGTCAAAGTAAAAAAGCAAGCTTATTAGTCACAGTTCTAGACTTATCATTTATTTCAACGTTTAACAGTATTCCGGAGTTCATTTGTGAACTTTTTACACTAGAAGGGGACATTTAGGTACATAAAAAAACGAGAGCTTCCAGATTTGACCCTACAGCTTGTTTTAAGAGATTAGTCGCAATAAGACAATTTATTTAAGACATTAATCCTGTACTTTATGTTATTCAAGAAACTCTTTGCACATGTCTTTTTTTTTTTTAAGAAACAAGTAAACTGTTACTTAACTTGGTTTTGTAAAATCACGAAAGTTTGATTTCAAAAGAATAAGTACACAGAAACCACACATATTTCGAGAGTGAATCTAAACTCAATTCTTAAATCAATCAGGAAAACTATTGCACAAGTCTATATTATACAAGAAAAAAAATGAAAATTTTCTTTCATACCATTAAAATTGGTTACCTTTTGGAAGTTCATGTTAATTTAAATTACCTCAATCGGTGAAACAAATTAAGATGGACAATGTTATCTTTTAAGTCAATAAAAGTAGTAAAAAAGATGCCAACAACAGAACCTGACAATGTTATAATGGTTTGAACTATAATGTTGTAATTGACGTTTTTAATTAAGGTTTTAGATAAAAGGAAAAACTATGTATCAGGTCTGTATTCTGTGGTTTCTATTAAGTTTACACTGGAGGGAGATTTTTAAAAATGAGCGAATACACACGGTGTCGTTTTAGCATATTTTACAAAATTATGTTGTATTTGTAATGTTTGAAATGAATATATTTACCTTCCATAACTGAATTGGAATATTCAAACGAAAGATATGTGACTAAACTGAACGTTAAGGGATCGTAATTACAAACAGTGCAGATTCTAACAATTTTGGAATCTTTACATGTAATGTTGTTCCACGGTTTGGGTTTACATAATCAAAAGACCAAAGTATAAAAGCTCTAACAATTCAACCGTATTTCCAAACCACCAACCCAGTGTCTGTAAAGTGTTACTGTTTTAGATAAGCTAATCCTGATTACTCGTAAAAATTCTGTTGACTGGTTTCAGGCATATTTTGATGTACAACGAGATGTCAACTTGATTTTTTCCCTCTGTTTATAAAATATGCTTAATACACTGCATCCAGCAGCAACAGAACTCAAAAAAACATGACAGTTAGTTATTTAATGATTTTCAAATGAACTTACTTAATATCACTACTGCACATTAACGTTCCATTATAATCAACTGCTTTATCCTAACCTCAAATGTTTCCAGAAATATTATAAAAATATTAGAGCATTTGCTGGATTTCTACTTAAAGTTGTGTTCTTCTTTCCATCTATTAAGCAAAACCTGTGATATTATTGAATGAAAATACTTTCCTCAAGACTTTTGTTTGAGTATGCAAATTGTGTAAACTATGAACTGAGCGGTCGGAACAAAAATATAAAGGCTTAAAACTGCCTCATTGATGAAAATCATAATGATCCTAGGCATGCATCCAAAATTGACTTTCATATCTCACCTCGTACAAGCAGTATAGTTCATAAAACTAATCAATGCTCATCCTAAGTTTGTAAAGATAAGGTCAACTGGCATTTCAAATATTACGCTTTTTACTTTCTAACAGTTGTTGTAAAATGGATTTAAAAAAAAAAGACATCACAAAATTTTGAACCAGTATTTGAACAGTATTCCCATACAAAAAAAAAACACCTCATTCTACATGAAAATAACATCACAGGCACTGTAGTTACATCCTTTACTACATAACACTTGTGATAGTCAGTCTCTCTCTCTCTCTCTACTGTTGACTGGACTGCTGGACCTGGTTCATTCTAGCTTTCTTCCATTCCTGAATCCTCTGTTTTAACTCTAAGGCTGTAGACATAAACAAGAAAAGAAAAACATCAGTACAACCTATTCATTAATACACATGCTAATAGTAACAAGTGAACCAATTCAATTAAAGAACTTCCTGACCAAACATCTTTATATATATATATATATATATACTGTACGTGTACCAACTGTTTCCCAACACTAACGGTTCTGTTGAACAACAGTGACTGATCTAGTTGGGCTGATGGGAGTTAGAATGGCTTTAAAGTGCAGTCCTTTACTGTCAAAAGAAATATTCAACATAAGGAAATTTTTCTCATCTTATAAGACACGTACTTTAAATCAAACAACTTACTGCATGTGAACCCAGCTGAATGTACCTTGCCAACGTATCAATATGTATGCTGCAATTCACACACATACATGTTTAACATCCACTTTTACATATTTCTTGTGCAAGTGCTCTCTATTGATTTTGGTTTTGTTATGCATATATAAAACTTGTATGCTCACAACTGATTGTAATGCATTTATATTTCAGCCGATTTATGTTAACATATCTGTTTTGTATGACTTTGCTACATTAATGAAATTTATCTTACCAATCTTCTGTCTACATTCATCTCTCATGACCTTGCAGTTTTTACATGCTTTCAGTTACACAACATGAATGTGTTGTGGAATTTTGTGAAAAGGAATTTAAAGGCTATCTGTGTTAGCTGTCCTTAATTTTGAAGTGATAGACTAGAAGGGAAGACAGCTAATTAACGCAACATACCATCAACTCATGGGCTACTCTGATGGAACAGTGGGATTTGACCAACACTCTTATAATGCTGCCATAGCCCCAAAAAGTGGAACACAATTTTTTTTTTGATGATGAAAACAGGGCATGTATAAAGGAGCCTCAAATCCATGGTACAGCATGCACTTATTGGTATTCTTAATATGTATTTTATCCAAGAAGTCATTTAAAAATTACATACATGCACACACACACACACACACACACACACATATATATATATAAACCATATGGAATCAAACCTCTAATTTTAGTGTTTTAAGCCCACAAACTTACTATTAACTCAAGTTCGTATCAATCAAATGAGTTATATTAGAACTGGAAAATTGATTTTTGCTGTAATGCAACTCTTTATTCCGAACTATTCTTCTTAGCATTTAATCTGTTTTCAAATTACTTGTGAAAAAAAAATTACAAGTAATTTCGCGGAATATATTTAAATGAAACAAAGCCATAAAACAGTAGGTTTTGCTCAAATTTTAATCCAGCTTTACCCACAATGCAATAGGAAATTCATCAACACTGAGACTTGAAGTTTATTCACTTGACATGTAAAACATAATTAATAAGTAATTTTCTTTGTTTTTCCATTTTCCCAAAACTTTTGTTTGTTTTGGGATGTTGGCCCAAATATACCCAAGGACTATCCATCTGCAATAAACATTCTTAGCTTTGAGCTATATAGAGTAAAGACAACTAGTCCAAAGCACTCACCACCAGCTCTTGGGCTATTCTTGCCTGACTAAATAATGAAAGTTGACCAATTTTAATGTGCCCATGCCATGAAGTATGGAGTACAGTTTATTCTTTTTTGCAGTTAACTAGATGCAAATATTGGACCCACAAATCCATAGTCCAGCATGCTAAACATTGAGCCACAGAGCTTTTTCTAAATAACAGTTTGCTTATATTTAGTAAAACAAATAGCACATCAATGAATGTGTGTCCTGTTCATCACAACTGAGTAACAAACTCATTCTCCCTCTGTAATTACTAGATTTGTGACAGAATCCAAAATCTTGAGCTTGCATATAAGCATTAGTTTAGGTTTGGTTTAAGTTCAAAGACAAAAAAAAATGTAGTTTAAACTTTTTACTACATGATTAGAAAATTAAGGCTTAAAATAGAGAGAAAAGGGAAAGTTTTCTGAAGAATAAAAAGACATTTTAAATTAATTTTAATATCAAAATAACCTAAAAATCATAATTTAAGTAAGCTGCTTCCTCTCTACGTCCTGTATGATCCTTTAGACACTTAGGCTGTAGGTTGTATACACCACATTCTGATGTTATGGAAGTCCAAAGTTTTGATAGTTGTTTTATAGATTATCTTATACCCTACTAGTATTTCTCTTTTACACTTATATTACAAAACACTATATGCATTCAATATGTTTCCACAATGAGAATCTGCTGGTGGATCGGTGGTAAGTTTCAGGACTTACAAAGCTACAATTCAGGATTTGATCAACATTGTGTATATAAGTGTTGAATAAAAAACAAAACAGAATACAAAATGGAAAATTCTATCTCACACTGCTGGTGTTGGTTTATGCAAGAAATAATTATTATCTTCATATTTTTCTATCTCTTATAGAAACAAACACAATATCAACTTCTGGTAAGAAAACTTCAGAAACAAGTTAACGATTAATTAAATTCACGATGTATCATCCATTATAATGACTAATTAAATTCACGATGTATCATCCATTATAATGACTAATTAAATTCACAATGTATCATCCATTATAATGACTAATTAAATTCACAATGTATCATCCATTATAATGACTAATTAAATTCACAATGTATCATCCATTATAATGACTAATTAAATTCACAATGTATCATCCATTATAATGACTAATTAAATTCATGATGTATCATCCATTATAATGACTAATTAAATTCACAATGTATCATCCATTATAATGACTAATTAAATTCATAATGTATCATCCATATTGGCTAGACATTTTCTGATAAAATTAAGTAAATCATCCTAAACTGATGACAACACACTTGATTAAAAATATTATTAAACTTCAGTATTATCAAGGATAAAGCATTAAAAGTTTTTATATGAGTGCACAATGTATTTTAGTTCATCTAATATTATCATAATTATTTTTCATTTTAATTATTTAAAGAACCTTCCTTATTTATTTTTCCCCCAGTGATAGCCTGCAGAAATTTCAGGCTCTCCTCAAAGCTTGACTTGAACTCAAATTTTTCTTTAAATCTCAAGCTCAAATTTAACTCAAAAAACTGTGGCTCCCATGCCTCTGTTTAGTTAATCTTGTTCTAAAATTCCAAAATATTGAAAGTCAGTTTCAAGAAACTCATTATAAAAGCTTTGTACCGGAAAACTATAGGCCAGTAAGAATGATTATTTGTCTTTTAGATGCTATATTATAGAAAATTGATTCATTATACCTCCTGGATATTCAAATATGGTAAGTTACACAAGTTCGGAAGAGGTAATTAATAGATTAATAAAAAAAATAAAACATTGATGGCATTAAATTTATGGTATTATGCAAAAGATCTCATTGACAGCAACATAAAGTACACACAGACAAGATTATAATACTGCTCTATCTATAATAACCTACCATCACAAAGACAATCATAGAATAAGGCTAAAGTAATGTAATATGAGCCCTTCACAAGAGAAAAAGTATTCTATCTCCAACAAGCTGATAAAGAACTCAGTTAACCTAAAAGAAAGGTTAGTAAAACCTTTATAGCCTTCTTGAAATCATTGAAATAGTAGATTTAAGTCCAACTTGGGTGAGAGCCCTGAGAGTAGAAGGAAAACCTACAATGTAAATTAATTAGTATCTAGTAATAAAAAACATGTTAGTAATTACAAATTAGGCTTATGTGATTATACACGACACTAACCATGATAACACTGATAGATATCAATTGCCACAAACTTATCATAAGTAATTATACAAAGTATTGGCAGCATCCTAAAATAAATTGTAGTTGGAATGTACTGCCAGCATAATCAAGTATACAAAATCAAATTCATACAGAGTTGCACACAGAGTACAGTTCATACAAAGCTGAAGGAACCCTAAATCTAAGTAACAAAATGTGGTTAAAATTCTTTATGGCATCCTGAAACAAACAAAAATGTAGTTGTAATTATTTGCAGCATCCTAAAACAGACAAAAATGTAGTTGTAATTACTTGCAGCATCCTAAAACAGACAAAAATGTAGTTGTAATTACTTGCAGCATCCTAAAATAGACAAAAATGTAGTTGTAATTATTTGTAGCAACCTAAAACAGACAAAAATGTAGTTGTAATTACTTGCAGCATCCTAAAACAGACAAAAATGTAGTTGTAATTACTTGCAGCATTCTAAAATAGACAAATCTGTAGTTGTAATTACTTGCAGCATCCTAAAACAGACAAAAATGTAGTTGAACTTATTTACAGCATCATAAAACAGACAAAAATGTTATTGTAATTACTTGCATCATCCTAAAAGAGACAAAAATGTAGTTGAACTTATTTACAGCATCATAAAACAGGCAAAAATGTTGTTGTAATTACTTGCAGCATTCTAATATAGACAAAGTAGGTAAAATTATTTGCAGAATCCTAAAACAGATAAAGCATAATTGTAATATAGTGGAAGCATTCTCAGACAATGTCATTGATATTAACAGTAGCATCCTACACAAGTCACTATAGTTGACATTCATTTATACATCCAAAAATAAAGTGAAGTTAATATGTTTTAGGCAGCATTCCACAACAGACAACACTGTTAAAATTACTGACAGTATATTACAGTTGAAGTATAATGGAATCCTAAAACAGGCAAAGTATTTTCAAAACTGACTGGAAAAATCTTAGAACAAACTGCAGTTGAACTATATAATGTGTGTGATTGAAATGACAGCATCCTAAAGCATACAAATAAATCATAATTGACAATACTGTTCCAGAAATCAATATTTGGTTCTAATGAACATTCATCACGAAGCTATATCATTCTTTTCAGGTCAATCCACACAAAAAAAACATACAATGAAATGTTATACATTTTCATCATTAAATCAACTATACGGTTTTGGTTTTGTTTATACTATATATCATGTTTAGTTAATTTATCTAGAAACCTGCTTTTTCTCAACTGAAGAAATTAATGTTTCTTGTAAGACATATTACATATTTCAGTCAAATGTGAGGACAATATATGCAATGATTTTCTGACAATGAACAAATAGATTTGGTGACAGCAACTAAACAATTTAGTATTTTATATGGTTTAACTTGTCATTTTATTATATGATTTTTGAATAAGAAGAAAACTGTTCGTTTTTTACTTTCATCTACAGGTTGAAAGCTGAGATATCTAACTCACTCCTAGTGATAGCTACTCATATATCTGTGATACTTAGATGATTTTAAATGTGTAGTCCCATATTTTCTGGTATTTTAAGAGTGATAACTGTTAAAATCTGCAAATTGATTAAAGCATATTACTTAAGAGTAATCATTTAAAAAAATATGTCAGTATTATATATTCTTGTTAAATAAAAAGGTTTTCATAGAAGTTTCTTCAAACTTTATACACACAAGCTTACGAGGAATAAATGATATTTATATCCAGAAATATTTTTTGTTTGAGTAACACTGATTATCAACGAAGAACGAAATAGATGATTTAAGTAAGTCACTGGAGTTAAGCACAAAGCTACACAGTGGGCTATTTGTGCTCTTCCCACCACAGGAATCAAAACCCAGTTTCTAGCATTGTAGATCCGAAGACATACTGCTGTGCCACTGGGGTGGGGTCACTGAATGAGCAATCGATATGTTAAGAATAAATTATCTACATTCAAACTGTTATACTAATCAACACAATTCTTCTGTGTGGCAGTTTAAGAGTTTGATAGTTTTTGTTCAGAAATTAATATTAATCATCTCTAAATTACTGCAATAGTAGGTATGAAGTTACAGTTAGCTTGTATATAAGGAACATTTGTAGGATTTTTTACTAGGGGGTCAGGAGAGCACAAAAGACCAAGAAATTAGTTTGGGGTGGGCAGAAAAAATAACACTTTTATGTCAGTAGGAGTCACAATGAAGAAAATTTTAAAATTATAAAAGAATATCTCAGATGGAGTGCTGCTGCTGGAGGAGTAGAGTTTTCCAATGGGGGCCTGCCTCTCCAATGCAACCCCAGTGGACATGCTCCTGCTAGTGCAAACCAATTTACTGTTATTTCTCTAAATGGTGGCGCTAAGTAAAGCCAAGCCCAACATAGTACGAATAAGACCCTCTGTTTAGTATATGATGACAAAAGTAATAATCCACACACACCAACAAACAAAACATACTGTGTGTTACAATATGACAGTAAAAACTGAAAAGATGTGCAATATAAACAACAAATACTTCTATATGCACACCTAATAATGTTAAGTGCAAATTAATAGGTAAATTATTGTAGAAATGCATCTATTCCAAACAAGTGAACACAAGATAAACAAACCTGGTTCTAACATATCTTCAGTTAAATGTTGCCTGTTGAAAGGATCTGTGCTAGAATTGAGCAGATGACGTATAATTACAGCACGATCCATGATATTTCCACTTGGAAGAACAACAGGATCCTCCATTAGTGTGTCCATAAGGGGATCTGACCAGAAATTTGTATTCATTACTCAAATGATACATGAAGTAGTGAAAGAGAAATTTATCACTTAATTATCTTACTAGACTGTATCCACAATTCTAATTCAAAGTATTTATTACACATTATGAAATTATTTCAGGTCTTATAACACTATAATAAAATAATAATTTTTACTTCAAATACAAAACAAGGGAACCTTTTTAAAAAACAGAAATAATACTTGAACAACAAAATGCCTTTTCCAGAACAAACATACCAATTTAATAGTTAATAAAGCAGGGAAAGATAAGATAATGAGTAGAATTTGTAGCCAAGCCATTCAGTTGTAATCAATATTTCATAAAAGTTACTTTAATTTTTAAAGTATTTACTAAAAGTTAAAATTATATTTATGACAATCCCATCAAATGTAACAAAAAAAAATTATATAAATGTATCTTAAATGGTTTTCATATTGCTACATTTCTTATAAAACATTAACATAAAGTTGTTCTCGCTCAAAATATCACCCAAAAAATGTAACACGTTACATTCATTTTATCAACAATATAAACCTTTAAACTCCTCGGGAGCATTGGTAAAATCTAGATCCAACTTCTTGTTAAGAATAACGAACTCTTGGACTCTATTAGACAACTGTTCAAACTGTGCGATCTGAAGTTCTGTCTTAATCATGGCCTTTTTCATTCTTGCAACAGCATCTTCAAACAATTCAGGTTGATATGAACGCTGCAAGAGAAAAAGATAAAATCATGCCATACTGGTATCTTATACATAAAAGTTTTGATCATTTTTACTACAGTTTGACAAAGATCTACAATTGAATTTTAAAATGTATTTGAAACTTTTTTGCCGTTTTAGTGGCATTTCTTTTACCTTATTTATGAACAAAAAAAAATTAACATTTTGCTACAACTTTTGATCAAAAAAGTTATCACATTATAGGTTTAATTGCATTTGATCTCATGGTCAATTTACCAACTCTAAGAAATAATAATACAGAATGATGATTCAGGATTCCATACATAAGTATATATACCTAAAAGTTTTTATTTAAGTTCAACCTATGATCTAGTTAATGAATTCTTGCAGGCAAGTTTTTCTATCTATTTCTAAATACACAAGAACTTTAATAGTGAATAATAATTTAACAATCTTGTATCATTTTGAATACTGGGTTCATGTTTTGAAAAACATATAGTATACTAAGTTGCTTTATATACATTTATTAATTTTTTCATAACAAATTAATCCAACACACAAAACATTTACATACTGACACTGATGATCAATTATTCTGAAGAAAACATACCTCATCAGAAGCCAATGCATGACAAAATTCGTCACAATCTAAATGCAAATATATATCAGTAAGTTGGTCAAGCAGACGTCGGGGTTCCCAGCCATATTTATCTGGATTCTTGACCTTCAGATTTTTACACTTGGGCCCACATAGCTGCTTGAGGTTGAAGTTTAACATGGCTGCAAGTCTATCTACTACCTCCTATAAATGTAAGTCATCATAATTAACAGACATTTTATGTATATACATACTGTATTGCAAAAACTTAATTTTTACATATATTACAAGTGGTTACAAAAAAAGATACCAACAGTAATAATTTACCTACGACTCTTTATTTCCAGGTATTTAATTCTTATTATAAATAACTTTACTCTCACATATAAAATACAACATTATTTAGAACAGAAATAACACTTTTGTTTCTTCAAGATTCTTTGTACTTGATGAAAACTGTATCTTTACACAAACTTACTGGTTTTAAAAATGGTTGAACAATTTCTTTCGTCAAGTAATGAAACATATCAACCGTTTCTTGAGCTAAAGTGAGGTAGGAACGGCACTGCCTTTCATCAATGGCCAACTGTCTTTGTCTGGACTGTGTGGCTTCCTGGTGGATAATAACAAGTGATTGAGGCATAAAAATCTTTCTTGAAATACAGTTAAAATGTTAATCTAATAAATTCATTAGATAACATATATTAAAAATAAAACAATCCTCTTTATTTTTCAAACAAAAACAAATTGTTCTCTAACAAACATAATACAGTATCAAAATAATGAAATATATATAAGGCACATGCATTGAAAACTGTATTCACAACTTAATCTACATTTTCATAACTTTTTCCATTATATGGCTTCCAAGATGTATCATTTTAACATTTGGAACTGTTTAAGAATGTCTGCTCACGTATTAATATACAACAGGCTGTTAAAGAATACTTCTTTTACCAGGTTTCTAAACAAATTAAAATGGACTTTACCTTTGAAATTTTCAGATAAGGTAAGAACAAATACCTGATAACTAACTAATTCAAGGTAAAACTTTATCTTGCATAAAATCAAATAATCAAAATAAATCTACATTTATAATAATTGCACAATGTTCAACTCTTACTCAATTAGAAACTTGCATAAAATTTTACAATTCATAAATAAAAAACTTGTGAAGCTACTATTAACGTATAAAAAAACAAAGAAAACTACAATGTACCTCAGTTTGTTGGTTCCAAGATTCTTTATCCTCCATCGCTTCCTGGACTTCATGAATTCGTTTTAAAGACTCAAGACTCTCATCAAGCAAGAAAGTTGTGTCATTCATCAACATATTAATGAACTTTACAAACTGTTTCCCTACACTGGAATACAAAATAAGGGAAAAGATATTTCCATGAATTCACTGAAATACATTAATAACTTGTACAGAAACTTTTTATAACAATTCTACACAAAATTTTTTGATATGTGGGTGAACAACACCTGAAAGTTGCTTCGCAATCGGGAGAGGGTTAAACCACAAGCTTAATTTCTTGAATTTCCTGTAACAGGTACAATTTTTTTCCCCACACAATTTTATTTTTAAAATATAAAAAATAAAAATATGAACAGCATTATTTTCTACAGTGATTAAAGCCAAAACTAGCTTTCATAAAATGTAATCAAAGAGCTTTTTTTTTAAACTCCTCTATTACTTTATCTAGAGTATTTTAAGTAAGTATTATTATAACTACACCATTAAGAAGTTATTAAGCCTGAACTGTAAAAACTCACTCACTTTGACTCAAGGATAACAGCTTGTTTATGGACTGGATTGGACCAAAGAGATTTAAAAATGATACTGATATGGTATCTTATGGTGAATTTATCGTAGAACTCGCTACTTGCTCCTGTTGTTTCTACATCTGCAAAAACGGTTGATAAAAATAGATGTTATTTTAAAGGAGAAAGTGTTTTGTTAATAATTTCAAAAATAAAGGATCTCTCTCCTTCTTTGTGTCTAGACTACAACAAATTATAAAATAAATTCTATTAAGTTTACAGTAACGAATCATGAGAACTCTGGAGACAGCACTGGATGTGTTTGCATCTAAAAATTATTAAGAAAATGCATACGTTTCCCACATCATGTTACCTGGGTAAATTAAAATTAACACAGTAAAAAAAAAAAAGTTAGCTACCAAAAATTTTCTAAAGCTAATTTTAAAACGATGTGTCTAATTAAGGAAATTATACAATAAACATATTTCTAATATAGAAAGGAAACAATATACTAATGTTTCGAAAATTCAAATAAAAATTACAGAAATCGTTGATTAAGTGTCATAAATAGCAACAAAACAAAATAAATAAAGAAGAATACAAGTGACTGTATAACCTGTGTAGAAATTCATCAGTGCCAAGGCAAGATGTTGTTCAGCTAAAGGATGGGACAAGATTCGTGCATGCAGAGTTGGGGTATAGGGTTGAATGTTGGAACTGGCTAGGAACATCACTTCCACCAACTTAGCCACCAAATAAGGGTTAGCTATGTACTGAGGAGAACACACCAATAGGATCATAGCAGTCAACAACTCCTCTCCTACCTGTGTTTCTGCTACTTGGGGTTGGTACCTGAAATATTGAAAACAGGTACTAAATAAGGGTTAGCTATGTACTGATGAGAACACACCAATAGGATCATAGCAGTCAACAACTCCTCTCCTACCTGTTTCTGCTACTTTGAGTTGGTACCTGAAATATTGAAAACATTTAGCATTCATTTGGCAGTTACTAAACCTTACATACCAAATATTTGGGCTATTTCTCAAACCTACTGGGTAACACACATACACACATCAGTGCCAAAATCATGAGGCATAACATAAGGTCTTTTTCTATTTTGAGGGGAACATAATACAAGTTGACAGAATATTATTCTTTATTCTTCATATCATTATATTAGCATAAAATAACCATCTTTGAATTATTTCATTACAATAGAAATGACATATCAACTAGATACTTAGGTCATTCAAAACCAACTCAAGTTCACTTTGATGGTTTTGGAACTGTGATACATGTTTTATTTTCTTTCACCCCTTTAGTGAATTCCAACCTATCAAATCTCAAAACATAATCAGATGTTGACCTCAGAATCAAAAATTACACACTTTAATTTTTGTTCTAATATTTGAACAGGATTAAAACTGTAAAACTCCCCACAATTATAATATTTTTTGTACCAAATACAATTTTTTTTTCCCATATATATGTAAATAGATACTGAAGTACTCACTGTATGACAAAAAGTAAGAAGTCTGCTATATCTTCAATATACCAATCTGGATAAGCCGCAAAAACATTGGGTATGGCAACAGGAAGAGGTAGGTTAGGCCTATAAAAGATAAAGTTTACATCTCAAGCACGGCATTACATATGGAAGAAAAACCTTATTTTTCCAGTTTAATCCTTTTGATACGTGTCACAGGTGAAAGACCATGTCATCTCGTTTGTTGACTCACATTCAAAATTTTATTGAACTACTATTTCATGAATTTATTTCAATAAGTTTGGTATCAAACTGTAGATTATAATTCAAATTTTAGAACTGTACATTACTCAATTTCTTAATTTAAAAGTAAATATTAAAAAACACAGATAAACATCGATTTTTTTGTGTGTCACGTGGTATGTTGAATGCAGCACTGGTTCATATTAGATGTTTGTGAAGTCAAAATACTAAGTCTATAGTTTCGTACGAATTAGAAACTCAAATTAAATTTTGAGCAGACTAAAGACACAATTTACTTCATTGAAATATTGATTTAAAATAAAGAAATGACACTAGGTACGTTAGAAAGGCCTAAAAAACCACTAGGGGGACATTCTGAGCTTCTGATTGGTTATTCATGTCACATATAGAAGTAAGTGTTTATAAGGGAGTGTTTCCAAAAATGGAAGGAGGTGAGTGAGGTGCCACTGATTTATTATGTGAGCAATATCTTAGCAAACAGAAAAGATAAGACCTTCTTATTTTATATTCAAGCTTTTCAATATCTGTAATTAGTAACTAAGCTGTATTTGGGTCTAAAAAAAATAGTTTGATAAATTATAGTAGAATTCTATTGCATTGAAATAATAATTTATGATTTTTTAGTTATTCAAAAGTATATAGAAAATCTAGAAAAAAAAATTTTGTTTCAAATCCTCCACGTGCAAAAGTGACTGTATTTTACAAAATACTAGTCGACTAAAACACAGCCAAGACAAGTTACTTTGTACAGACCAAAGGTCACCTTTATGTTATTTGATAGGTAACATGAGTGCACGTGAACCATGTTGTTGTAACTTCTGTATTTTAGCTAGGCATGGGTGAAAGATCAATATAATAAAAATAATAAACATATATTAATGTATAATGTTATGAGATTTAAGCTATTTCGTCTAAACATTTATGTTTTCATGTTATAATCTGTGTTATTTTAGAATGAAAGAGGGATAATTTATGTTTATTTCCTAATTTTTTATGGTGGTTGCGAGATTAATCAAAATTACCAAACTCTTAGAGAGATTAATTACTGAAAATAACATATAAAATATAAAGT